CGACATATATATATATATATATATATATATATATATATATATATATATATATATATATATATATATATATATATATATATATATATATATATATATATATATATATATATATATATATATATATATATATATATATATATATATATATATATATATATATATGTTGTACCTAGTAGCCAGAACGCAGTACTTGGCCTACTATACAGGGCCCGATTTGCCTAATAGGTCGAGTGATCTTTATTTTCAAAATATTGTTTCCAATTCGTATATTTGAAATATTATTATTATTTTATATTAAGAACATACATTACTGACTTAGTTGTGTTAGTTTAGATTAGGTTAAGATAGGTTAGGTTAGGTTGGGTTAGGTTGGTTAGGTTTGGTCATATATCTACGTTAGTTTTAACTAAAATTTAAGAAAATTAACTGAGCAGACTCATATGGGTTCATAGGCTTAAGTAGTTTCTTTTACTTTCATGTTCTTAAATCTAGATACACAAAAAGATTTAATATGATCTCAATAATGGAATGGTTAACATAACAGCTTTTGAAGTTTTCTCGGCAAATTGGTCATAACATTTGGGCTTAGTGACCAAAAAGGTTAAAAACGAATTTTAAAATAATCTGAAATAGATGCAGCCGAATAAGCGAGCAGGTTAAATGTTTAATAATAATCCATTTTATTTTTTCCTTTTTTCTGGAGCCACGCTAGCTGAATGTTTGTAATGTATTAAGTATTTCAACATATGAATGTAGTACGTAACCTGATGTATGACTTCACTTCATGCTATTGGTTCTTGATATGCCTGTTGTTAGGTCGCAAATTGACGTATTTGCTCCAGCTCCAAATTAACATTTCTCAGTACAAATAGGTCAACAATTACACCAAAGAATAAAAAGGGACAAAATAAAAGAATGACGACAGGTTAGGATTCTAATGAACCGTTTATTCACAAAAGAGATTTCAACCATCCAAAGGACTGGAATAATGGTGTTGGGTTATTAAGGCCTATCAACCTTTGGAGGGTTATTATCCCCACCACAATAACTTACTGACCCACCAACGAGTTTAATTTAGTCCTGAACATTGCCTAGGACTAGAGTAAACTCTGTGAATATACACCGTCAAATTCTGGGTGCATATATCATAGCTGGAATAAAAAATACAAATGAAAATCAATTACTGGAAAAAAATGTTTTGTGGGAATTGTATTATAAGTGAAAAATACATTTAGATATTATCCCAGGGGCTATACAAATTGCAGTTTTATAATTGGTACAATATGCCAAAAATTCTAATGTAAAAAAAAACTAAACTGTCGTTCAGTGTTAGATCACCTTTTGTTGGGCTCTTACCAACGTTCAACATTCATGGTCTATAAGCTAATCAGAGCCTCTGTCGTAGAAATTCATTTATACCCACCTTTTCTGATTATATCATATTCCTTAAAAATGTGCTAAATACACATTTCTGCATTTGAACTCTGCCCTGAATCGTGTAGAATTCAAGTTCGATTCCTCGATGACCCAAATGATTGGAAGGTATTTGTCCACGACAGAATTACCACTAGGGACCGTCGTGGTTTTCAAGGGAAGATTACCCCCCCCCCCCCCGCCATCCCCCGAGAGTCACTCTGACTTCTCCATGGTTGTATATATTATATATATATATATATATATATATATATATATATATATATATATATATATATATATATATATATATATATATATATATATATATATATATTGATTGATTGATGATATGTAGTTTTTAATATGCGTGGTTTAGAAATTTAAGTTATAAGTATTTCATATTTTGATCATGAAATAACATATTCGACTCAGAGGTACTAACGCTCCACTGAAAGGTACTAGAGCTTACTTCAACGGTACTAGCGCTCCCCTCATTGTCACTAGCACTCCTCTCATTGTCACTAGCACTCCCCTCATTGTCACTAGCACTCCCCTCATTGTCACTAGCACTCCCCTCATTGTCACTAGCACTCCCCTCATTGTCACTAGCACCACTAATTCAGCTATAAACGTCAGCTACAACACAACAAATATTTTTACAATATAATTTATTTTTTTAATCATAAACTGAATGAATGAATTGATCAACTTAATATTAACTGCTTCGAATATTTACAAAATAAATGAGCGATTGATATTTACAAATACCAGACACTAGTTTCCAAGTCTTTAGTAAACGGAAGTAACACTGAAGCTAAGAGTTCTAGCCTTATTTGGCTTGAATTGTTCCATGCACTCGAGAAAGTTGTCTGGAAATATCAGTATAAAGAGAGGTGACTTACTGACATTGTGGAAGTTCTGCTCATTCAAAATAAAATAACCTGTAACGTTTTGACCATTTTGGGCGTTAATGCAGTGATTTACATGTGACCCGAACACCAAGCAGCTGTGGCACTGATCACTTAAGCCGCTTCACGTTCTTGCTGGAAGTGACGTGATGGCACAGCGGGCTCTCAGCAGCACCTCACAGTTGAGTGTCTGAGTGCCGCTGCATATCAACTTGCAGAAGAGAGTAGCTGTTACAAGGACACTGTTGGAGTAGCTTGGAGGGAGGAACGACGTTCTCGGTCTCTGAATCTGACGGAAGTAGGTCGGGGGTGTTCTTGCTTCGAGACCACGAGTCTAAGGAGTTTCTTCTGCCGTTGCTGCTGGCCACACCGCTGTCTGCACGACTCCCCTGGTGCGTCTGAGACCATTCCAACCCCTCCTGTTCTTCCTCCTCCTCTGCTAAGCCCTGACTCAGAGGACTGAACCCTTCGTGAGGATAGCTCAGGGAAGTCTTAGGAACATGGCGGGAACCCAGGAGGCCCTTAGAGCTGCCGCCGTACCGGGAGTGTCTGAAGGATCCGTGTAGTCCTGAGTGCATGTCCAGGGCTCCTGCCCGAGGCGATGCTAGCGACCGCTGGCGGCTTGACTGGCGCCGGAACGAGTAGCGAACCTGTTGGGGGCAAGTATGGGAAACGGTTATTGACAGTTAATGGAGGACAGTGTGCAGTGCTTTCTGGCGATGGACAGTGGGTTAGTAGCGACGGGTAATTGTGGATATCGCAATTGTATAAGTGTTGGTCTTAGGAGCAATGGGACAGTAACATTTATTGGTGACTAGCTAGTAGCAGCTAATGAAGAGTGACAGTGATCGTGGCGACGGCCATATGTTATTATTGACGGCCAATTATCAGAATTGACGTCCAAGTGTTAGTATTGACGACCAATTGTTAGTACTGAGGGCCAATTGTCAGAATTGACGGTCAAGTGTCAATATTGACGGCCAAGTGGCATGGCGACGGTGGGAATCACTTCCAGTCTGCCAGTACCTCGAGCCGCTCAGCCAACACACACGATACTTGTGGCAGTCTCTGTAAATGCCCCGGCTGTGTCCATGGCTATGACGGACATTTATCATCACGACATTGAGGAATTGTTATATTTTTCTCTTCATATGCAGCAACTTTTACTTTTATTGCATCAGCTGAAGTACTTTTATTACATCAGCTGAAGTACTTTTATTACATCAGCTGAAGTACTTTTATTACATCAGCTGAAGTACTTTTATTACATCAGCTGAAGTACTTTTATTACATCAGCTGAAGTACTTTTATTACATTAGCTGAAGTACTTTTATTACATCAGCTGAAGTACTTTTATTACATCAGCTGAAGTACTTTTATTACATCAGCTGAAGTACTTTTATTACATCAGCTGAAGTACTTTTATTACATCAGCTGAAGTACTTTTATTACATCAGCTGAAGTACTTTTATTGCATCAGCTGAAGTACTTTTATTACATCAGCTGTAGTACTTTTATTACATCAGCTGAAGTACTTTTATTACATCAGCTGAAGTACTTTTATTACATCAGCTGAAGTACTTTTATTACATCAGCTAAAGTACTTTTATTACATCAGCTGAAGTACTTTTATTACATCAGCTAAAGTACTTTTATTACATCAGCTAAAGTACTTTTATTGTATCTAATGTCTTAAATTTAGATTTAGAAGTTTAATCATAAGCTATTGATATAAATCATTACAAGTGTTTGGAGTGAACAGGTGTATAGCAGTGAAATCTAAATAGTTAACAATTAGAACAAATTAATAAGTAATTTCTAGCAACATGGAATCCGAACATCTCGACAATGACTTAAAAATTACCTTCTCATCAAAGAGCAAGGATATTCCCCTATAGTTGTTTACTGATGTCGAATGCTTTTTTCTCTCTGAAAGCTATAGGGCCATAACACAATCATGTTATGGCCCTATAGCTTTCATTCCGGCACTCCTGGCACTCCTGGCCCTTTGTATTTTCACAGAACCAAACCATCAGGAGATAAAATTAATGAAGCACTCACAACCAACTTTCCAAAACGTGCCCTCACTAAGGCACTTGCAAACAACTTGTCCATATAAACTTAAAGGAGTCACAGCACACAACAGAATTGTATGTCAGCCGAACTAGCAAATATGTTGAATGACCTCGTGTTACATAAAGACAATGTAGTATTGTGCAAAACACTTACGATCAGTAGAGTACATATTGATGTACAGATACGGTGTGTGGTTGATGACGTCAATATATATATACACTCAAATCTATTTTTGTACTAAATGGGGGGGGGGTAACTTAGACAATCATAACAAAAGAATTACATCAAATTTATTTAATACTACGTACAAAACGGACATATACTAATGTACGATATTGGTTATAGAATATGTTTATTAATATACTAATGAACTGTATATAATTCTACTTGAATAACATATAAAATATCAAACATGCTACTGCTCTAGCGTTAGGAAAAAAAATTCAACTAAAGCACATAACAGCAACACACAAGCGTCCGAATCTCGCCAAACAAAAACACAGCAACACAATAAAAACCAAGCAAAAGTAACGCCACAACACAATAACAAAGCACTTCACAGCTCTCCAAACATCACACCCCCCCCCACATAAGACAAGAAACACCCACCCCGTCTTCGAAGACATTGACCACTGATGTGTCCATCTCGGCGGCCGAAGACCTACAGGTGGTGGAGCGTGTGCTGTTCCTTCCACTTGCTCGATACCGGAGGTTTGATCCATTTCTGCAACGACACAGAACTGCGGTAGTGTTAGCCAGCAGCCTCGCTCCTGCTCCAGCAGCCTGTGTTCTTGAGTCCCACTGCGTCTAAAATCCAACCCTCCTAACCTAACCAGATACCGAAGAATCCAAGCAATCCACTTAACCTTATCACTCTGAGGCATAGAAAACGTCATTTGTGACACGTTACTTAGTTCCTGTTTAGCCCTCACTGGCACTCCCCATCACCCACTGAGATCTCCCCACACTTCGTGGGTGATGGGGAGGATATCGCGCTTCCATATGCCTCCAATATACTCATCTCGCGAGATCGGTACCTCGTATCTCAATCATGGAAGCTTAGTCTGCATTTGCGAGCCAGTTCACGAGCTCCAATGGGCTACGAGTTCATACAGAAACCAAGATTGTTATTGTTATGGTCGACCTCGTAGTGCTTAAGAGAGTGTAAACTGTTTAGGAAATACTGTCTAAGCTACAATGATCGAGGAAAGATGAAGAGATCTCATAAAGGGATATGAAATTGCTCTGTCAATCCTGCCCGGCTATGATAATCCCCCATGGAATGTTGCTGCGTCTAACACAATTCATTTACCTTGGGATTAAAAGTTAAACATTACAATATTATTTTAATTTTAAATGTTGATAGTAGTGGGATTAGGTATTGACTTACTGAGATGGTTCAAAATGAGGGCTTACATTACATTAGCCCATGATGCTAATGTATCGAGACCACCACTAATGTTGGTCTCGATATTTTCGAGTCTCGAGAGTTAAGAGGAAGACTGTAATAATTATTTAATTTTAGGCAATATTTACTCGACTAAATTCACCGAGAATGTTAACAATTCCATTTTAATAACGCAGCAAGACATGAAGATTGTCACTAAATTTACTTCAAAGCAGTGTGAAGAAATATTTTAACTCGTCTACCAACTCGTCCTGCCCTGTTTAGGGATGAAAAAAAAGAGATACTTTAGATACGACTTGCAGCTAATTACATTCGAACAATTTTTGTTTATGAACAATGCTTCGCTGTCTTCTTGTGTTCGAATCACACCTCTCAGAATGATCAGCTAGTTTTCGCTAACGTTGCCTGAACCATGCTCGATGAAGTCAGCTGCAATAAGGAGCAAGGAGCCGCAATAAGGAGCCACATGCTCCGTGTTTCAGACCCCCAAAAATCCATCGTGTTCACGAATAAAAAGCACTTGACACGCGACTCACAAACGATGCCGTTCAAAATGTTCCCCGAACATTGCTTTGTTCTATTCCTTTGTTCAAATTGCACTTTTTGGAACCTTTATTGATGATAGCACTTATTAATTGTAAAAACAATTTACGATAAGAATTATTAATGATCACATTCTGTTTTTATTGCACTTATTGATTGTAAAAACAATTCACGATAACAATTATTTCATGATGAAATTTTCTTTTTATTGCACTTATTAACGATAGCACTTATGAGTGTTAGCACTTATTGATGATAACACGTATAGATAATAACATGCATTGACGATATAACACTTGTGATAGCAGTTATTGATAATAACACTTATCAGTGTTAGCACTTATTGATGATAACATTGGTAATAACGCTAATTGGTGATATTACTCATTGATAATAACACTTACTGATGACAGCACTTACTGATGATAACACTTATTGATGATAGCACTTTATAATAACACTTATTTACGATAAAACTTGTTGATAATAGCACTTATTAGTGATAACATTTATTGACGATGGCACTTATTTATGATAATACGTATTGATGATAACACTTATTGATGAAAACACTTATTGATGATAACATTTATCGATGAAAACACTTATTAATTCTAACACTAATAAAGGGGAAACACTGATGATAACACTTACTTAAGATAACACTTATTCATGAAATTATTATTGATGATGTCATTTGCAGGCGATGAGTCACAATAACGTAGTTGAAGCATGTTGACCAGACCACACACACTAGAAGGTGAAGGGACGACGACGTTTCGGTCCGTCCTGGACCATTCTCAAGCCGGTTGTGAATGGTCCAGGACGGACCGAAACGTCGTCGTCCCTTCACCTTCTAGTGTGTGGTCTGGTCAACATGCTGTCATTTATTTGTAATACAATTTATTGGGATGACATTTATGATAACAGTTATTGAAGATGATATTTATTGATGATAACACTTATTAATTATAGGACATTGATCATAATATTTAATATTTATAAGATTTATTGATGACAACAATTGCTCATAATAAAACTTATTGATGACAGCACTTATTTATGAAACACGTATTGTTGGTAACACTTACTGATAACAACATTTACTGATGATAGCACTTGATGATGATAACACTTAATGATGATAGCACTTATTGATGATAACACTTAATGATGATAGCACTTATTGATGATAACACTTAATGATGATAGCACTTATTGATGATAACACTTAATGATGATAGCACTTATTGATGATAACAATGATGATAGCACTCACTGCTGATGATGAGAGTGTACAGTGATGACTGTGGCGCTTGCTTGTGTTGATGTTAACTGAGGGAGGAATCAGGAGTGAACTAATTGATGGTGATTGTTATACCGTGTTGATGATGATGATGATAATGATGATGATGATGATGATGATGATGATGATGATGATGATGATGATGATGATGATGGTCTGTACATGGTTGCTATGATGGTGCGAAAACGACTAATAGTGTCGTTCAAGGCCATTATGATTGATGGTAACATGAGGTTGATGAAGATAGCAAGACTAGCAGTGGGATGAGACGTGTACCTGTTGATGATGATGAGGTTGAAGGAGGCCTTGCGTCGATGGCAGCGACACAAGTGGAAGGCGCCATAGATGAGTGGATTCACCAGGCTGTTGGACATCCCGAAGAAGAAGATGCCAGACTGCAACTCCGCCGCCACCTGTCCGTTCAAGAGGAGAACCATAGGATCTTTATAGTGAAGCTCATTCAGCTATAGTTCGTGTGAAGCTTTTTGAACTATCGTGTGCACGTTATTAAGCTTTTCACCATAACTCACGCGCATGTGGAGGACTTATGGTGAGATTATGCTCAATTTTTACACATTAAAAAATTTAATTTAATTTTTTAGCAAATCTGCCGTCATTGGCCACTTAAAACTGCAAAAAAAACACGTGAATTACACACACACACACACAAAGATTTTTGGAGGTCAAAACAATTAAAATAACTGATCAGATTTCGTTCAAAATACTTAAAGGACAAAAAGTATGTGGCTCTGAATTCTATCCATAAGGATGGGCTAATGAAAGGACAACTTAATTAAACATTTTCTCACCGTGTGTGAAGATTCTGTAATAAATTGCAAGGCTCGTTAGGGAACAATTTGTCGAATGGGAAAACTGCCGTCATTGGTGGAACCCCAAAATTACAGCAATAAATTATGCCCAAGAAAATGGAAAATTAATGGCAGCCACAGTCAGGAAAATTACCCTGGTAGATTCCAAGCCTTAAAATGGCAGAAGCAGTTACAGAATTTTGTCCTGACTGCAAACCATTCTTTTGTTAAGGAATGAATCATTATTTATCAGATGAAAATGGTAAAAATATTTATTACATATATATATATTTTTAAAGTTCCATTTTTGAGCTTTTCGCTTCGAGTAATTAGCGGTGCAGAAACGAGATAATTTGAGGGTAATATTTTAGCACTAACTCCCTCGCTAATTGGCAAAGCCAAAGTGAGGGCAGACACGATCACAGAAAACTACCGTCTATGTAAATGGAGAAAAAAGAGAATATGCGTGAGAGAGAGAGAGAGAGAGAGAGAGAGAGAGAGAGAGAGAGAGAGAGAGAGAGAGAGAGAGAGAGAGAGAGAGAGAGAGAGAGAGAGAGAGAGAGAGAGAGAGAGAGAGAGAGAGAGAGAAGAGAGAGGGAGGGAGGGAGTTATCAGGAGGAAGGCACCAAGCCATTACGACTATAAAAGCCCTTGGAATGGATCAGGATAAGGAATTGTGTGTGAGAGATAGATAAAGAGACAGACAGACAGACTGACAGGCAGACAGACAAAGACCAAAATAAGGAGAGTGACACATAGGAGCGTGATTTGAATTTACTAAACAATTTACGAGTTCCAACAACAATGTCGTGACATCAACAGTGGATAAACTCACATTCTCTTCCACTTGCGTGAACATGAAGATAATCATCATCATGTAGTAGGGCGTCCAGCAGATGACGAAGGCCAGCACAATCACTACAGATATCCTCAGCGCCCTCATCTTCGCCTTCCTCAGCAGCCGGCGACGGTTGAATTCTGGGCAAGTGTTCCCTAAAGTGGTTCGCTCGCTCCTGAACACTTTCTCGCTCTCTATGTGGAAGATACGAAAAACGAAGTCATGGATGAGGACAATACTTTCTATGTGTCGTTCAGTTCTAGCAAATTTCAGGACCTCTGTGTGCCGGAATGTAGGTCGGTGTCTTGCATTATAGAAAGATGAAAACAAAGCTTTGGACTGCTAGTGTTCTGATCTCAGTTTTAAACAGCTAAGGAGAGGTATTGATTTTAGGAAGGATTTCAACATTGGACCAAAAAAAGCACACGCACGCACGCGCGCGCGCACACACACACACACACACACACACACACACACACACACACACACACACACACACACACACACACACACACACACACACACACACACACACACAGAAGATTCAGAGGAATGCCACAAGATTGGTCCCGAAACCGAGAGGAATGAGCTACGAGGAAAGGCTAAGGAAGCTGAACCTCACAACCCTGGAAAACAAAAGAGTAAGGGGAGACATGATAACCACCTACAAAATTCTCAGGGGAATTGACAGGGTGGACAAAGACAAACTCTTCAGCACGGGTGGGACACGCACAAGGGGACACAAGTGGAAACTTAGTACCCAGATGAGCCACAGAGACGTTAGAAAGAATTTTGTCAGTGTCAGTAGTTAACAAATAGAATCCATTAAGTAGTGTTGTGGTGGAGGCTGACTCCATACACAGTTTCAAATGTAGATATTACAGAGCCCAGTAGGCTCAGGAATCTGTACACCAGTTGATTGACAGTTGAGAGGCGGCAGGACCAAAGAGTCAGAGCTCAACCCCCGCAAACACAACTTGGTGAGTACAACTAGGTGAGTACACACACACACACACACACTCACACACACACACCACACACACCACACACCCACACACACACACACACACAGATGCCCAGACCCCATTCGCCTACCAGGCACTCCCAGGCACCCCCCTAGCACCCCCCCACTCGCCCCCACAGCCCCCACTTGCCCCCCAGACACCCCCCAGTTCCCCCCAGACCCCTGGTGAAAGGGGGAACTCTGACACCCGAGTTTCCAAGAAGAGTCTCAAGGTTTGGTACACCAATGCTGATGGGGTAGCCAATAAAGCAGAAGAGATAAAAGAAAGAGTTAGTGAGGCAGACCCAGACATAGTGGCAATAGTGGAAACTAAAATAAATGGCATGATCTCGGATGCAATCTTTCCAGAGGGGTACCAGGTGATAAGAAAAGAAAGGACACAGAGACAGGGAGGTGGAGGGGCACTACTAATAAAGCGGAAATGGAAGTTTGATGAGCTGGAAAATCCGGGTACCAATGAAAGCACAAGCTTCATACATGGAACCCTGACAGTGGATGGGAAGAAGATTGTAATCTTGATACTCTACAATCCCCCACCAAACAGTAGAAGGCCCAGGCAGGAGTACGAGGACAGCAACAAGACATGTATGGATGAACTGCAGAGGGCAGCAACTTTAGCGCATAGAATGAGAGCGAAGCTGCTGGTCATGGGGGACCTAAATCACGGAGAGATAGATTGGGAAACGAGGAATCCCCATGGCGGGGAGGAGACCTGGGGAGCGAAGCTGGTAGACGTTATTGACAGGAATTTCCTAACACAGCATGTGAAAGAAGATACTAGGGAAAGAGGAGGGGATACGCCCAGCCTATTAGATCTCATTATCACTCAGAATGTAGAAGACATCGAGCAGTTGGAACATGAAATACCACTAGGAGCTAGTGACCATTGTGTCCTAGCCTTTGACTACATGATGGAGCTTAAAATTGTGACCAAAGGACAAGAGGTCCGGGAAAGGAGACTTGATTACAGAAAAGGGGACTACAGAAGGATAAGGGACTACCTGGGAGAAGTGCAGTGGGAGGAAGAACTTAGAGGAAAAACAGTGCAAGGTATGATGACCCAAGTCATATTGAAATGCAAGGAGGCTGAAGATAGATTTATTCCAACAATAAAGAAAAAAAGCAGGAGGGAATATAATAACCCATGGTTTAATAGACAGTGTCAGGAAGCAAAGGTGAGAAGCAGGAGGGAGTGGAGGAAGTACAGAAGACAAAGGACAGAGGACAACAGGATTAGATGTAACAGAGCTAGGAATGATTACATTAACATAAGACGAGTGTCGGAAAGAAATTATGAGAACGATATTGCAGTCAAAGCGAAAAAGCAACCAAATTACTACATAGCCATATAAGAAGGAAGATGTCGGTAAATGACCAAGTGACAAGACTGAGGAAAACAGAAGGGGCATATACAGAAAGCGACAAGGAAATCTGCGAGGTACTGAATGCAAAATTCCATGGAGTGTTCACTACCGAGCCTGAGCAGCTCCCATTGTTAGAAGAGATTACCCAAGATGAAAGACTATCAGATATAGAGGTGTCAGCAGAGGATGTAATGAAACAGTTGACAACACTGGATGCAAATAAAGCTGTTGGACCAGACAAAGTATCACCGTGGATACTTAAAGAGGCAGCGCAGGCTCTCAGCGTGCCTCTGGCAATGATCTTCAATGAGTCACTTATGTCGGGAGAATTGCCCAGTTGCTGGAAGGAGGCAAATGTCGTACCGATTTTCAAAAAGGGGGATAGGGAGGAGGCACTTAACTACAGACCCGTATCACTGACAAGCATCCCCTGCAAAATACTTGAAAGAATAATTAGGCTAAGACTTGTTGAGCACCTGGAGAGCATTGGGTTTGTAAACAAGCACCAACATGGGTTCTGGACAGGGAAATCATGCCTAACAAACCTTTTAGAATTCTATGATAAAGTAACAAGGATAAGGCAGGACAGAGAAGGCTGGGCAGACTGCATATTTCTTGACTGCCAAAAGGCCTTTGATACGGTACCGCACATGAGACTGCTATACAAACTTGAGAGGCAGGCAGGAGTAAGCGGAAAGGCCCTAGTATGGGTGAAGAACTACCTAACAGGAAGGAGCCAGAGGGTAATGGTAAGGGGCGAAAAGTCGGACTGGCGAACAGTAACAAGTGGAGTACCTCAAGGATCGGTGCTGGGACCAATCCTCTTTCTAATTTACGTAAATGATATGTTTACAGGAGTGGAATCATACATGTCAATGTTTGCACAAGACGCAAAATTAATGAGAAGAGTTGTGACAGACGAGGATTGTAGGATCCTCCAAGAGGACTTACACAGGCTGCAGAGATGGTCAGAGAAATGGCTACTGGAGTTTAACACCAGTAAATGTAAAGTTATGGAAATGGGATCAGGTGACAGGAGACCAAAGGGACAGTACACAATGAAGGGGAACAGCCTACCTGTAACGATTCGAGAAAGAGACCTGGGAGTGGATGTGACACCTAATCTAACTCCTGAGGCACATATAAATAGGATAACGACAGCAGCGTACTCTACACTGGCGAAAATTAGAACTTCATTCAGAAACCTAAATGAGGAAGCTTTTAGGGCGCTTTACACTGCCTACGTGAGACCCGTCTTAGAGTATGCCGCGCCATCATGGAGCCCCCACCTGAAGAAACACATAAAGAAACTGGAGAAGGTTCAGAGGTTTGCGACGAGGCTTGTCCCGGAGCTACGAGGGATGGGATATGGAGAGCGGCTGAAGGAACTGAACCTTACGACACTAAAGAAAAGAAGGGAGAGAGGAGATATGATAGGGACATATAAAATACTCAGGGGAATTGACAAAGTGGAAATAGATCAAATGTTCACACGTAATAATAACAGAACGAGGGGACATGGGTGGAAACTGGAAACTCAGATGAGTCACAGAGATGTTAGGAAGTTTTCTTTTAGTGTGAGAGTAGTAGAAAAATGGAATGCACTTGGGGAACAGGTTGTGGAAGCAAATACTATTCATACTTTTAAAACTAGGTATGATAGGGAAATGGGACAGGAGTCATTGCTGTAAACAACCGATAGCTAGAAAGGCGGGATCCAAGAGTCAATGCTCGATCCTGCAAGCACATATAGGTGAGTACATATAGGTGAGTACACACACACCACACACACACACACACACACACACACACACACACACACACACACACACACACACACACACACACACACACACACACACACACACACACACACACACACACACACACACACACACACACACACACACACACACACACACACACACACACACACACACACACACACACACACACACACACACACACACACACACACACACACACACACACACCACACACACACACACACACACACACACACACACACACACACACACACACACACACACACCACACACACACACACACACACACCACACTACACTACACCGAGGTACTTTATAAACAGTTGTGTGAAGTAATTTATAATTTTTACACCAGGAGTAATAAATGCTGAACTCCATTGTAACTCGGCCACTTTCTCTCCTCTTAACGACTCACTGTTTCTGATACGACTTCCAGAGACTTAACCAACTTCTCGTTCCTCGGACCGGCATGCAGTTCTCTCAAGGTAAGTCTCCCCTTTCCCCTCTCACTCTCTCTTCCCCTCCACACCGCCCCCCCTCCCCTCTCACTCTCTCTCTTTCCTTCCTCCTCTCTCTTTCCTTCTCATGCTTTACCTACTAGGGTTCACTAGAAATAGTGCTGATGTTTCCAATGAGACTGCTAGCTATAACCTGCAATCCTTCATCAACACATTTCAATGGCGATCCTAGAAAATGATGGAATTAAAACCATTTTATATGCCTTTAAATCAAATCCATCTCTTGTATGTGTTAAGGTTCAAGGGCAATCAGGATCATAGAATACAGCATAAAAAAATTAAATGATGTAGCTCTCTCAAGTTGACATTTCATAGTCAGGGACCAAGCACACTGCTCTACGGAACGCTGGTCCTGGTTGATTGCCTTTCAAATTCTGCTCTATTAATAAGCTACTCCTAGAGTCTGATCTTGAAAGTAGACCAAAATTAACTGCAGATTGAAGCCTCAGATTCCAAGTGATTTAGACTTCGTCACACAGGAGATCCGTCTATCTGCTTACAAACCACTAAATATTTATCCATCGTGGTATAATCACGATGGCTATATTATTATCCATTTATTTCAATACATATATTATATATTATATATTATATTATTAATATATTATAATATATTATAATAAAATATTTTATTATTAGTATTTTATAATTATAATAATTTTATATTATTATATAATATATTATTAATATATTATTATCCAATTATTTCAATACATCTAAAATGATTGTCAGATGTATACCATAAAAGAAATTCAATCGTAAAAATGTTCATGAACAGTTGGGTCGACATCGCACCTGTTTTGTCGCACCTGTTTTAGAGAGAGAGAGAGAGAGAGAGAGAGAGAGAGAGAGAGAGAGAGAGAGAGAGAGAGAGAGAGAGAGAGAGAGAGAGAGAGAGAGAGAGAGAGAGAGAGAGAGAGAGAGAAAAAAATAAAACGTAAGCTCAACTAGGTGAATACACACCCACACACCGTTCTGACACCAAAATATTTACATAGTTCCCGAGCACCTGATAATGACTCGCTAGCCCTCTCTCTCTCTCTCTCTCTCTCTCTCTCTCTCTCTCTCTCTCTCTCTCTCTCTCTCTCTCTCTCTCTCTCTCTCTCTCTCTCTCTCTCTCTCTCTCTCTCTCTCTCTCTCTCTCTCTCTCAGTCTCTCACACTCTCTCACTTTATCTCTACCACTATATCTCGCTATAGCCCTGCTCTACGTGTTTACGTAACCCTGCAAGGAGAAAATTATAGTTTTACCTTTTATTTTATCAAGAGAAAAAGACGTAAATCAAGACCCATACAAAAATAGATTCACGATAAGCATATACAATAGGTGAATCGAAGGGTTGGGGATATAGCATGGGCATTAAACTCTGATCAGGCCATAGGATCCACTGCTCTGAGAAATGGACGGACGGAAAGGAGACACTGCTATTCTTGTCTGAATATAAATGAGGATTTGTGGGTGGACGGAGAACGGTCTGCAGCCGCATGCAAATAGTACAATATTAGAGACACAGATCTCTCAGTGTCTGTGTGGACCTCTGCCTACTTAATGTGGGAGAGATCCCTCCCCCCTTACAGTGCAGAGAGAGACCCCTCCCCTGCGTACTTACTGAAGAGGGAGAGAGAGAGACTCCCTTCCTCTTCCCACTTACTGTGGAGGGTGATGAATGTGGAGACGTAGGTGACGAGGAGGACGAGGAGAGGCAAGACGAACATACAGACGAGGCTGAAGATGCCGTAGACCTGCTCCAGCCAGGCGGGAGAGTACAAGCCGTAGGTGACACACTGGTAGAACTCCTCGTAGAAGGGACCTCTCACCACGTGGAACACCAGCGCCTGGGATAACAGAGTACACACACAATTTCAGTCGTAACATAGGTATAAATTTGTTATTTCTTGGTATTTAGTCCAACACAACCCAATTATATTCAGTGCACACATGTGATTGTATACATGGCACCCAGGTGGCTCAGCACACTGCAGAGGGGGCTGTATACACCACAGGTGGTGGTGGTGATCTTCGCAACATCACTACTGAGAGCGTAGGAGAGACTTGTATACATAATACATACAAAGTAAGCAGAAATGCTGCATTTTCTGTTGAAATAAAATGGCTTCTGTTAAAATAGAATCCTGTAAACCCATATCAACGTATGTGAACCCCTGTAAACCCTTGTGACACTCCCACCTGTGAACCCCTGTGAACCCCCCTGTGAACACCTGTGATCTCACTAGATCTTTCAGAACCTGCACATAGACGAACTGATAAATAGTTTTCTATTCATCAGCTGTAGTTTTCTCAGATGCTGGGAAACATCATCTATCTAAGAAATAGATGCTGAGTTAGACTTTATCAAATAAGCTGATTTTTTTTTTTTTTTTAGAAAATTATAATTATTAGGAAAAAGTGTTAAGCCAGTGTGACTATATAGCTGTTGTAAGTGATACGAGAACAGGATAGGACCTGGGATACGAGGACGGAGGGGAAGGAACAGTGCTTAACCACTTGGACCATTGGGGGATCGAACGCCGACCTGCAAGAAGCGAGTTCGTCGCTCTACCGACTATACCAAGTGATTTCTTAATCTTTCACAAAATAAAATTGATTGATAAAAATATAAATTGCTGACACCGATCTGCAAATTGCAGACAGTTATAAAGCACTGACAGGCGATGTATAACTTGCTGACAATGATGTATAAATGGCTGACAACCATGTATAAATTGCTGATAATTATAAAGCACTGGCAGAGATGAATAACTTGCTAACAACGATGTATAAAGTGCTGACAACGATGTATAAAGTGCTGACAACGATGTATAAAGTGCTGACAACGATGTATAAAGTGCTGACAACTATATATAAGACTTGAAACAATGTTTAAGGAGCTGACAGCGATGTATATATAAAGCGGTGACATCAATGAAGTAAGACGTGTTTATTTATTGGATTTAAATAGTCGCTCCTATTTATTGGATATAAATAGAGGCAAAACAAATCCACAAGGGCCGTGATGAGGGTTCGAAACTACGTCCGAGAGGAGCCTAGAAGCGCCTTGATCGAGTGTGCCTCGTATGGGCCTAAAGGTTTTCTGCAGTTACCTTCATTCGTATGTTCTCATGAAACCATGTATAGAGCGCTGAAGCAATACACAAAGCTCTGATTACAATGCATCACGCTCTGCCACCGCTGTATATAATACAGGCAACGCTGTATAAAGCTCTGTAAACTATGTGGATGTTTTCATGCCCGAAACGCTTTGCGTAATAGTGGCTTTAGGCATTGTATGTACTAGCTTTACCTATAAGTCAACCAATCTTTGTAAAAATTTCTTGTATGTATGTACCTTACCTAAATAAACATTTATTTATTTATTTATTTATTTATTTATTTATGTATAAGCGGTGACGACGATGTTGTATAAAGCGCTTTATACAACGACATGGTAAAGCAACAAGCTCCAAGTTGTTGTTTTACTCTTTGCTTTATTTCAAATAAATAATTTCCTAGTTTTTAAACACAGAAATTGCTCCCACATTTGGCAAACAAAAAATGTTTATTACTTTTTATCACGCCTGGTTAACTTCCTTAATGGCGCTAATTTAGTCTTTATTTTTGTTGGCTCCGGCAGATATTGTCTTGTACGCGGCGAAATTTTCAGAATTTTCCAGCCGAGGATCCTGGAGCCGTGTCAACAAGGTGTTGCGCAAGCACCTCGGTCCTGGAAACGATCGCTGACGCTATATATATTGTGTGGGGATGGGCACGTATTGACGAGAGCCGGTGGTTGAGCGGACAGAACACTGTACGCGTGATCCTGTGGTCCCGGGTTCGATCCCGGGCGCCTGGTAGAAACAATGGCCAGAGTTTCTTTCACCCTGATGCCCCTGCTACCTAGCAGTAAATAGGTACCTGGGAGTTAGTCAGCTGTCACGGGCTGCTTCCTGGGGATGGAGGCCTGGTCGAGGACCGGGCCGCGGGGACACTAAGCCCCGAAATCATCTCAAGATAACGTGCCGGTGGGCGTTCAATCCGTGACCGTCCAAGTGGTTGGGCACCATTCTTTTCCTCCGTCCAATCCCAAATCCTTATCCTGACCTGTTCCCGCTGCTATATAGTCGTAATGGCTTGGCGTTTTGATAATTGATAATATCCACTTGTACATCGTAAACACTTACGAAACCTGTACATCTATCAACAATCTTGACGGCATTATTTACATTTATTAAACAGTTTGTGAGCGCCGAAGAGCCACGATGTTATCTATAACAATAATTACCTTGGCTGGTGAAGTCTCACAAACTCGTAAAATCTTGAATAAGTGTTGACCAAACTGTCAAGCTCTTGCACCACTGTCAAGCTCCAGTTATAAAGCACTGACAGGCGATGTATAACTTGCTGACAATGATGTATAAATGGCTGACAACCATGTATAAATTGCTGATAATTATAAAGCACTGGCAGCGATGTATAACTTGCTGACAATGATGTATAAATGGCTTGCTGATAATTATAAAGCACTGACAGAGATGAATAACTTGCTAACAACGATGTATAAAGTGCTGACAACGATGTATAAAGTGCTGACAACGATGTATAAAGTGCTGACAACGATGTATAAAGTGCTGACAACGATGTATAAAGTGCTGACAACGATGTATAAAGTGCTGACAACGATGTATAAAGTGCTGACAACGATGTATAAAGTGCTGACAACGATGTATAAAGTGCTGACAACGATGTATAAAGTGCTGACAACGATGTATAAAGTGCTGACAACGATGTATAAAGTGCTGACAACGATGTATAAAGTGCTGACAACGATGTATAAAGTGCTGACAACGATGTATAAAGTGCTGACAACGATGTATAAAGTGCTGACAACGATGTATAAAGTGCTGACAACGATGTATAAAGTGCTGACAACGATGTATAAAGTGCTGACAACGATGTATAAATAACAACGATGTATAAAGTGCTGACAACGATGTATAAAGTGCTGACAACGATGTATAAAGTGCTGACAACGATGTATAAAGTGCTGACAACGATGTATAAAGTGTTGACAACGATGTATAAAGTGCTGACAACGATGTATAAAGTGCTGACAACGATGTATAAAGTGCTGACAACGATGTATAAAGTGCTGACAACGATGTATAAAGTGCTGACAACGATGTATAAAGTGCTGACAACGATGTATAAAGTGCTGACAACGATGTATAAAGTGCTGACAACGATGTATAAAGTGCTGACAACGATGTATAAAGTGCTGACAACGATGTATAAAGTGCTGACAACGATGTATAAAGTGCTGACAACGATGTATAAAGTGCTGACAACGATGTATATATAAAGCGGTGACATCAATGAAGTAAGACGTGTTTATTTATTGGATTTAAATAGTCGCTCCTATTTATTGGATATAAATAGAGGCAAAACAAATCCACAAGGGCCGTGATGAGGGTTCGAAACTACGTCCGAGAGGAGCCTAGAAGCGCCTTAATCGAGTGTGCCTCGTATGGGCCTAAAGGTCTTCTGCAGTTACCTTCATTCGTATGTTCTCATGAAACCATGTATAGAGCGCTGAAGCAATACACAAAGCTCTGATTACAATGCATCACGCTCTGCCACCGCTGTATATAATACAGGCAACGCTGTATAAAGCTCTGTAAACTATGTGGATGTTTTCATGCCCGAAACGCTTTGCGTAATAGTGGCTTTAGGCATTGTATGTACTAGCTTTACCTATAAGTCAACCAATCTTTGTAAAAATTTCTTGTATGTATGTACCTTACCTAAATAAACATTTATTTATTTATTTATTTATTTGTTTATTTATGTATAAGCGGTGACGACGATGTTGTATAAAGCGCTTTATACAACGACATGGTAAAGCAGCAAGCTCCAAGTTGTTGTTTTACTCTTTGCTTTATTTCAAATAAATAATTTCCTAGTTTTTAAACACAGAAATTGCTCCCACATTTGGCAAACAAAAAATGTTTATTACTTTTTATCACGCCTGGTTAACTTCCTTAATGGCGCTAATTTAATCTTTATTTTTGTTGGCTCCTGCAGATATTGTCTTCTACACGGCGAAATTTTCAGAATTTTCCAGCCGAGGATCCTGGAGCCGTGTCAACAAGGTGTTGCGCAAGCACCTCGGTCCTGGAAACGATCGCTGACGCTATATATATTGTGTGGGGATGGGCACGTATTAACGAGAGCCGGTGGTTGAGCGGACAGAACACTGGATGCGTGATCCTGTGGTCCCGGGTTCGATCCCGGGCGACGGGTAGAAACAATGGGAAGAGTTTCTTTCACCCTGATGCCTCTGTTACCTAGCAGTAAATAGGTACCTGGGAGTTAGTCAGCTGTCACGGGCTGCTTCCTGGGGATGGAGGCCTGGTCGAGGACCGGGCCGCGGGGACACTAAGCCCCGAAATCATCTCAAGATAACGTGCCGATGGGCGTTCAATCCCTGACCGTCCAAGTGGTTGGGCACCATTCTTTTCCTCCGTCCAATCCCAAATCCTTATCCTGACCTGTTCCCAGTGCTATATAGTCGTAATGGCTTGGCGTTTTGATAATTGATAATATCCACTTGTACATCGTAAACACTTACGAAACCTGTACATCTATCAACAATCTTGACGGCATTATTTACATTTATTAAACAGTTTGTGAGCGCCGAAGAGCCACGATGTTATCTATAACAATAATTACCTTGGCTGGTGAAGTCTCACAAACTCGTAAAATCTTGAATAAGTGTTGACCAAACCGCCATGATTAAGGAAGGATATACAGGTTTCGTAAATGGTTGCCTCTCCAGAAG